GCAAAACGGCGCACTTGATTTAAAAGTGACACCGTGTTCAAAAGTAAACGAATATTTAAAAATATGATTTGAAGTGTTGTTTAACGAATTCTCGCTTAAGCGTTTACACGAAAACACATCTTTTTAAGCACAATTTTCCTACCTGTTTGATATACAAATAATTTTAAATGAGAAAAAAACGTTACAAACATAACTACTACATAACAAATGGTATAATAACAAAAACGAGTAAACGTTTTCAAAATTTTACCCAAAAACGTATAGCTGTAATTACCGGGTGATTGGTTAACTATGGACCACTCAATATCTTAGAAGATATTAGACTTTTTAAATTTTTTTTTTTTTATACTATTATAGTTAATAGGTGGGACAAATTTAATGTATTTTTCAACATTTTAACACCATCCCTTATGCGTTAAAACCATATCAACTTTAGATTTTTAAATAGTAACCCCCAATTTTTTTTTGATAATCGTGTTTATTTTTTTTAAATTTAATTTTAGACGTAAAAACTATCTAAATCAGACAAGTACTTTTAAAGTTATGGCTTAGTACTACAATATTATAATATTAGCTTATATGAGATGCTTTTATAAGTTTTACAACTAAAGAAAAAAATCGTTTATCGCCGGATCTCACGTTTCACAAAATAAGATTGATTAACGATACGGTTGTAGATTAAAGTTAATAGTTGACGGTCGTCGGTCACAATGAAAACGAACTAATAATAAATCTATAATAATATTATATGGGTAATGTCTTCTTATCTGTTTTTTCTGTAGTGTTCCTAGCGGTGCGGTGTACCTGTACGTATTGAATATTAGGCATTAGCTGCTGTTAACAAACAATATTATAAACCCTAGTAAATAGTTTTTTTTTTCAATTTCAACCATAGGTTACCGTGGTCTAATCACGGTGTTATATAAAGTGTATACCGTGGTTCTACCAAAACAATTCGTTACTAGCGTAGATTAATATCAACACAGAACAAATTATTATAAAAATACGACTACTTGAAAACTAATCAAAAAGTTCATTATTCTAATTTTTCAATTATTATGGTTATTTAGCGTCTTGGTTTTTACTTTAAATATTTAGCGTCTTGGTCTTAATAAGTATTACTTGTACTGGTGTCTTAACTAATCAAATTATTAATTCTGTTAGTGAAAATATTTTTAAAAAAACTAATAAATAACATTTAATTTTTTGTTTTTTTAGTATAATATTGTATTACATACAGTTAATAGATAATATGTACAGAATATATACAGAAATAAACAAAAACTAAACTTAATATGTACAGAAACTATTTTAGCATTTTTGTTCGAACTGGTTTATGATAGGTACATAAGATGTCAAACAACATCTTTATAAGGCATCTATTGTGTTTATTAAAATGTTTAGATAACAAAGGATTCCATAAGAAATACGTTCATCCAATACTTGCATTGCACTAAAATAAATTTTCATTTTTATAATTTAAAGTTGTAACGCGTCAATTTTAACTATTTCTAGTTCAGTATTTTTAATTATTAAAAGCTGTATTTATTTATTACCAATTTTATTTATTACCATTTTTACTCTTTATTATATTACCACCTTAAGCCTATACTGCATATATTTCATAGTATTGACTATTCTTACTTATTTTAATGTGTTCATATGAACAGTAAAAGTATATTTCTTATTTAATAAATGGTTGTTTTTCTCGTTGTACGAGGTATAAGCAAAAATTTAGAGTGAATGATAAAGTACAATTTTTTTTGTTTTTGTATGGCTTTTTTAACAGTCATAAGCTTAAAATTCAATAATAATATTACTAACAAACATTTAAATACTATATTATGTTATGTTTATTATGATAATAGTAAAATAAAAAAACAAGTAACAAGATAAATAATACGCTTATAAGATACGAATAAACATTTTTATTTGCTAAATCATATTAAAAAACTAAGACTAAATAAAATTAACATATCTATAATTAACTTGTAAATAATAGAGGTACAACATATTGCTGTATATAGTGATGTAGTTATAGGAAGTTATCTAGGGCGGTAAAGTTTGTTTGATGATTTCCCACTAGAAGAAATCCATCTCCATTTACATATTTAAGTTAAAAAATATTTATAAGTATATTCATTCAATTTACTTTTTTACACTTAATCCCATAGTTAACATTTTTTTTTTTCTATTTTGTGTTTTATAATTTTATTTACTTTATTACTTATAAAAACTTAATCGTAAACCACTAGAAAATTGTCAATAAATTCTGTAATAGCTAATGCCAAAACTATGCCATCATGAAAATAATTTCAAGATTTGGATTAAGACAATAACATATTTTAGAAATATTAACATTCTCGGCAGCATTTTAGATTAAATTAATATTAAATAAAGAATTCATCATTAATAATTAATAAATAATGTATAATAATTATAGATATGTTAAGTATATGTGTGTTTAAATACTTAGAGTTTAAAAACTTAATGTCACTTTTAAAATGATAAAGTACTTTTAAATTATTTTATTGAATTACATTTTTAGCTGAATAAATAAATATATATAGTTGTCTAATATTTGATTTGAACTTGTGAATCCAACTTATTCTTCTTACTGACTTAATGGAAAACCGTTATCTGCAATAGTGTGCCATAGTAACTAAAAAAAAAAAATAATAATAATAATAAATTGTTAGTGATGAATTCATAGAAATCAACTAAATTTTTGTAAGCATCTTATATATTTTACCTTAAAATAAAACACCTATAAATTTACTGAAAATTGAATACCACAACATTCGACAATGTATTGATGGAATTAGTTTAGACTGATTGACTACAATAATATAATACACCAAATTTGACGTTGGTAGTAGTGTAGTTGTAGACAATAACAAATATCAATTTAAGTTGAGATAGTCCATATTAATATTGAACATACTGAAACATATAATTAAAATAAATTAAATAAGTTTCTTAGATACTTAAATAATCATATGGTTAAGCAACAAATATCAGTATACACATATATTTTTTATAATTATACAAGTATGATAATTTTTAAGTTAAACGTTAATTTTTAAGTAACGCATTATAATTAAACATATAAGTATGATAAACATAAGTAATCCAAAAAATGTATTATGTAAAAACATTTTATATGTTCATGAATAATAAAAAAAAGATTAATTATATTTTTCTAATAAAAAAATGTACTTATACAATACACCTATATCAATAAATACATTATCTTACCTATTATTGATTCAGTAAACGATGATTGAAGATTCAATTTTTTCATAAAAAATTTTATATTTTTTCTTTGAATTCAGATACCAATATGTTAAAACACAAAACTACACATTTATAAGTTTCTCAGAACAAAGACATAATACTGTAAAAATAAAAGTTTTAATTAAAATATCATCAAGCATAATTCAAATTATAATAATTTTTTTTTTAAATAACATTTTATTATTATAAGTACCTTTAATTTTGATATTTGATGTGCATACATTTTATAAGTAAGGTTTTAGGTTTTATAGACTTGTCACTTGAGCAAAACTCCATCTTGGTATTCACATTGATTATGGATATTTAATACCAATGTTATTATTTAAAACACAATAAATGTTGACAAGTTCATAGATCTAGACTCTAGTAAGTTATGGTACTATATTATTATAATATACTATGAAATTAAGACGTACAAATCGCAAGAATAAACAAAATGTGTCAAATTAACCAAAACAAATAATTGCTAAATGCTGGAAAAATATACACAAGATATTGATAACAAATAAAACATACCTACTATTTTACAAAATAAATGTAAAAGTGTGTAGTGGTGGTATATTTGTCAGTCGATATAGCGGTTATCATTATTATTTACTATCGGTGAATTATTTACCTAAAGTAAATAGTGTTTGGTACGGTTATGATTTTTAAACGCTACAATAGCTATTGTCAAAGTTAATTGTCAATAAATAATAACAGAGAGCAGTCACATTAATATGTTAGCGTCTCCAAGATATTTAATTTATTTTTTACACTCCCTTTAATTTTAAAACTGTGTAGCTCGTTAACTACTCAATCGATTTAGCTAGTTTTTACGCCTAAAATTAAATTTAAAAAAAATAAACACGATCATCAAAAAAAAATTGGGGGTTACCATTTAAAAATCTAAAGTTGATATGGTTTTAACGCATAAGGGATGGTGTTAAAATTTTGAAAAATACATTAAATTTGTCCCACCTAATAACTATAATATTACAAAAAAAAAATAATTAAAAAAGTCTAATATCTTCTAAGATATTGAGTGGTCCATAGTTAACCAATCACCCGGTACAATTGTATGACCAAAGTGTGAGTCTGAGTTTAGGTACTGTTCTTCTTATATTTTTCGATAAATATTATTTTGACACCATACGACTGACAATATTCTTTATCATCAACACGATGACTATGATTGGACCCCTCTTACTTAAGATGAATATGTGATTTAATAAAATATATAACCAAAATTTGTATCATTCGTTGTCCTACTTTGATCTACAAAAAAAAAAAAACTTTAAATCGAATTACAAAATTAAAAAACAAAAAACTAAACGTCCTATTCATAAATACACTACACTGATGTTTTATGTTGTTTGTTTGACCTATCTTCAGACTAATTATCAATTCTTAAATCTTAAAAATATGTCAACCTTTCTCGCAGGGGGTGTTCAAAATTTCGGTTTTTCAATGTGCGATTTTGTTGAAAGCACATTTTATATTGAAAATGCTAAAATTACATTTTTTTCCTGACAATAAATATTCCTACATTTTAGGCAGAAAAAAACGTTGATCTAACGACAAAAACAAGGTATAAAATTGTCAAAGTTTGAATTTCCAATTTTTTTTTTGTTTTCTTTTGTACACCTTAGTGTTATTTTTTACACGTTGAAAATTCAAAGATCATAGCAAACCGTCGAAACTTGAAAATGTTATCGAATCGGATAAACTATTAACATACCATTTGTGCACATAGATATTTTATTATTGTACGACTACTGCCTGTAATAGTCCGTAAAACAAATAGTAACCTAACCTTCTATCTTCTAAAAGTTTCTATCAAAAAAATAATTTGAGAGGGGGGTAAAACCAAAAAAACTGTGAAAAATTGAGATCACATTATATGAAAATACTTTGAAAAAAAAAAATTAAATAATTACTTAAGCCCAGTGAGATATTGAGTGTTTCCCGATAATTGGATTACCCTGTATCACATTAAATAGGAAAACCATTTTATATTCGAATGGATTGTAAAACAGTTATGCACGAACATTCAAATGTCTTTAAAAATATTTATTGAATATTTTTCAATTCTTCAAAAATATTTTAATAATATATTCAACGATTCATTTTTGAATCGTTGTGCTCTCTGGGTAGTTATGAGTTAAATTCTCAGACACAAACCAACATTTTAGAACCGTGGTAGTTTGCAGAACCGTAAAGCTAAAATCAATTTGTTCAAAATTATTAAAAATGTGTGACGGCGGCGGAGCAGGAAACTTTATGACGCGACGTCCCGGGGAGTGATCGCGCCCGGCCAAGTGTTCGCCGAAACGACCGTGTTGACCACGTCGCAAGTGTACAGGCCGATTAGATAAGTGGATGACCATGTATAACTATTAGATGAGACTGACAGAGCTAGCATCATATTTTTGATGTGTAAACATCTTTACGCGCGGTACGATATTTTGGGTAGGAGTAAATTTGTGCAAATACCGGAAGTAGGTAACGAAAGTAGAGCTGGTGGATGTGAATTTAACCGGTAAACGAAAGTAAACATTTCGGATATATGTCCAATGGTACCAGGGGTGTATGTTAAATGTCTACATCGGACAATTCCGCACCATACGCGTGGCTGTACAACGAACTCTTTACCGACAACATTTGATAGCTAGACTAGGCAAGACTAGGCTAAGCTAGCTTTTTTGACAACTACGAGCCACGCTGCGCCGCCCGTGGTTGATCGCTGTATATTATAAATATTCTATCCGTGCATCTTACCCTATTACCAACAATTTACAGTCTGTATATTGCCCTGACGGAAACAACACTGATATTGATGACAAATAATCAACGTGCCAGTAGAAGTAAATACAATGGCCAACCGGCTGCATCGTGAGCTGGATGATGATTATAGTATCAACAGTTCACATCAAGAAAAAGAAAATTCACCGTTTAAGTTACCTAATAGGGTTTGTCCGTAAACGCGTAGTAAAAGATTACTAGGTTACTACACATGACAAGGTTACCATATGCATAAAAATAAAATATAAAAACTAAAAATAGCTAAAGTTACTTAATTTACAAATTATGAGTTTTACCATTTAAATAATGGGTTTTTCGAAAAAAATGTCCTACAAAAGTTGTTAGTTTTGATAAGAACATTTGTTTGGTTAGCAAAAAATACATGGTTTCCATTTAAAAAAAACATATTTTTGACCGCAAGTTAGCCATTTTGAATTTCGGACCCTATTTTGGTAATTTTTTATAATGTCCCCCTTTGTACTCTAAAAGTTTTTAATAAGCGACTTATTGATTGGATAAGTATTTTTGGAGAAAAATCGATTAGTATTTTAAAATGGGACACCCTGTATATATATATACATTTAGCTAATCAGTCAGATATCGTACCACATTTTAACATAAAGTTTAAAACGATGCGATCAATACCCTAAAATGTATTATCTACTATCAACATACAGCTTTGGCTACTGATTGTGTTTCAAAAAAATATTACAATAACCGAAAACCAGAATAATAAAATGCAATAAAAAAAAAAAAAAATACACCATTGTGTATGTCTCTTCAACTTCCACCTTACCTTGTGAATGTACATCGTGTGTAAGCAATCAAATATCAAACACACAAGGCGTATGGAATTTCGTCACTCACAAAGTTTATCACTAGTCAATAAATAAATAGGTAAAAGCCACGGGCCTTGACAAATGTACTTGTTTTTCAGTTAGTTTGTTATTTTGACTTCAGTGGTATTAGTCGTTCTATTCTACACATACTTCATTGGGTTTCAACTATTTCAAAAACTATTATGCAATTTAAGAGTGTTGTGTTTCTCTGCGCGGCGTATTGCTTTACAGCAGTATGGGTAAGATACTAATTACTCTAAAATAATATTTCCTAAAATAAATATAATTATATACTTAAACAAGGTGACTTATGTAATTTAGTCCTATAACTTATACATTAAACCATAATGACCTTAAACATTTAAAAGGTAACGCATAGTATATTTGATAAACTATTAAGTTAAAAAAAAAATTTACTAGTTTTAAATAATTAATTCTTAAGGGCATTGCATGAGGTCTGCATTAGGGAGTTTTGTGAAGGCAGTATTTAAGTATTAAGAGCTTTCAATAAATTTCGACCATGTCAATTAATTTATCAGTTAATTTGTATATGATTCAAGGTCTTATTTTTAGTTTAAATAATTTTTTCTATGAGTAAAAGCCATTTTGGTTTATTTTAGACCAAAAATCCGGACAAAATTTCGACTACATAAATAGGCCAATGTCAATTTTGTAAAGAAACTCAATTTTTTTGGCTGTTTTACTATGTTATGTAAGAAGCCGATTTGTATTTAAAAATGTCTGTGTCTTGTAATTAAATAAATTAAAATTTACATAAAAAAAGCTATTAACAATGAAAAAGCTGTTTCCTACATAATCTAGTAAAGTTGCCTAAGAACTCTTAGAACTTGAACAAATATAAATATTTTATAATTCAATAAATACGCTACTTACTAAAACAACGTCACGGAACATCAAAAGTAAGAAAAAAATTCGTCCACATCGCCATGTATTACTACCGACTGTTTATTTATTCATATTACGTACATAACAAATAAGATTATAATCAAGTGTTACCAACATTACAATACTGAACAAGTGTTAAACTATAAATCATTTAACTTATTTTAGAGCACCGGACTAAATAGGGAGCAAATAAAAAGATGTATTACATTATACAAAAATCCAATTCAAATCCCAAACGCTATGAAGAAGGAATTTGGAATTAAAATTCCGGAACATGTTTTTGAATACGATCATAGCATTAATTCTCATAAAAATGTTAAGAAGTTACTTTTGGTGTTAGCGTATAAAGGAACATATGACAACTTTGAGGTATTTGATCTTATATAACTACACTTATGACAACTAACACATCAACTATTAACAAATATCAAAATATTACAAAAACGTGATTGCGAAATATTCGTGTATGATTAATATTAGAATCGAATGCTGACGTCTTTTGAAGTCGATTATTACGTCAAAAAGTTCACTAAACGCTCCGAAGATTTAAAACAACTTGGATGGCTTATTCGTAAAGATATAATAGGTTTTTATGAATACTTAAACATTAAAGGAGAACAATTGTCATGGAATTAATCCCTTGGTCAAAAGGAGGTAACATTAAATTTAGTAGAGGTAGCGGTTTACATCAAGTTAACAAACTACATTTATTAAATTTTAGGTGGTGGTTTTGCTACCGCAGCGGAGTTCTTGTTGACCATGATAGATATTCTACCGGAAGTAAGCAAATACTCATACAACCA